ATGATGCTATGTAGTTTTAAGCACTCTGTATAAGATAATAATAAAGATAGGCAGTATATAAACTGGACTTTACAAAGTACAACAAACCTGCTTGACTAAAATGAGACAGATGTAGGAACAGTTAGTGATATAAGAAGAAAAGTCTGACTCGTTTCAGCACCAGGGACAGCTCCAGTCATGACTCATGACTCATCTTCTCTCCTGTAAGACTGGCCTGCAGTTCAGCACTGCAGGCCTCCCTTCATGTTACACTCCACAGCAGGGGTGGGGGAACTCCAGGCCTCGAGGGCCAGTGTCCTGCAGGTTTTAGATGTGTCCTTGATCCAACACAGCTCATTTAAATGGCTAAATTAGCTCCTCAACCTGTCTTGAAGTTCTCCAGAGGCCTGCAATGAACTCTTCATTTGATTCACGTGTGTTGACCCAAGGTGTTATCTAAAACCTGCAGGACACCGGCCCTCGAGGCCTGGAGTTTCCCACCCCTGCGCTACAGCAAGCTCAGTGAGATGCTAAGCAGCTTACTGACGCATGTCTATCAATCAAATAAACAGAAAATATCTAACATGACATTTTAACCCCACAGACATTGTTACTAATATTTTTTGCCTTATATCATTATTTCTGACACCCCTTGAGCACACCGTGATTTTTCATAGTCCTGTGAAGGCAACATAAGCACAGGGTGCTGCGGGGTAAGCTAGACAAGGCATAACAAGACAGGGAGAGCAACTAACAAGCTACACAGTGAGTCTTTCACTTTCCAGAGCCTTTTATGTGTTTTGCTCCCAACCAAACCAGATAGACTGGATGTTCTTTCTTGGAAATTCTGGCGAGTTACTAAAAATGATAAGTTAGCAGGAAAAACTATGCTAATTTTACACGTGGTAACCACTACAACAGTGTGAACTCTGTGTTGTCTAAAAATTTCAGTTGTGGGTTAATTCATATAAATAAGTTACTTAAACTAATTAACCTCTTAAGCCCCAACGCCCCCTGATACGGGAGCAAAAGGAAGGAGATCAGTCAGGCTTGGGGCTTAAGAAGTTAAGTTACAAACATTTCATAATTTGATTACACATGCCTCAAAAAGGGGTGTGCAAATATATTTGATTGTAGTGCTGTAAAGCAATCCAAACTGAATTCATAGAAACAGAAACGATGTTAAAAGAAAAGTGTTCTTGATTTTGAACACTTGAGATCTCGTTTTATTTAGAAACAGCTGTAAGAACTGTTTTTGTTCATTGCTCTGTACTGTATGTGCAAACTGGCTTTTTGTGATCCTGAAGTTGGTTCCAGGTACTGATGGTGAGTCCAGACCCTGTGAAAACTCTTGGTGGATCAAAAAGCAGCGTGTCTAGCTGTTTTGGATGCAAGTGTAGATCTACAGACTAAACCACGTCAAATCGCAGGATTTCAGATAAGCAAGAACAAAAGCATTTATTTCAATACAGCTCGTTCCTCTGGGAAACTATTGAACTCACAATATCCTGTTCATCAGGAGTCAGGTATAAAGAAACTTACCCATCTTATTTTATTTGGCTTTTATTCTCAAGAGAGCACTCTTCACTGTTATTTACACTGGTTTATCGTATCATTGTAAACTTGTAATAAACTGGACTTTGTGCTGTTTATTATGCAATTATATAAAAAACAATATGTACTGCTATGGAGTTATGGTGAGTGAAATTCCCGTTATTAGTATGTCATGAGTACTTCTTGCCAGTTGTCGTCAGACAACCCAAAGAAAACAGCAACCAAAACTGTGTTAAAGTTTGAAAAGAATCTTTGTGAATGGAAAACAGAGGTTTCATTTATCTTTTAAACTGTAATAAAATTCAGCTGTCTTGTGAGGTAAATCTGGAGTCATGAACTGGTTGTTTCATTCCTGAAAAATAAATAATCCTCATAACATGATCAATGAAGTGCCAACAGAATTAGGATTCATTTGAGAGAAATGCTAAAAAAGCAAATTACAAGGACAGAATCAGATTATGTTTCCACAAACGAGCTGAAAGCTGAGTCTCTCGTGACTTTCAGCCTCCACTGGACAGAATAACACCGCAACCTTTGCAGAGTAACTGGACCGAGCTGCAGTGATGAATGGTGCCACGCTTTGTATCAACACACACAAACACACAGTCTTTACTCAACCTTCGTTTCTCTCTCCGAAACCAAAGCTGATGAATTCACATTCTGCACCTCGCCTCTCGCCTGTGAGCACTCATGAATCCTAAATCCATCTGCATTTATTTTTTTCTCCTTCTTTAATCTTTGGACTTTATCCCACAGCACGGTTCAAAGGCAAATACCAAACTTTTGCTCTGCCTCAGGTCTTTAATAACTGGTATTTCTTTGCAAGCTTCACCGTTCAGATGATACACATCCGTATCTGACATGAGCCATTCTGATGTCCTTTTTTAACTTTCTTCTGATTGGCTGCCCCTCAAAAATGCTTACATCATAAAATAAACTGAGCATTTTTAGCAGCTTAAGCTTCAACCACATCAGATTTCTTACCTGGAACATGATCCTGTACTGCTCCTCTGGACGTTTGACCACGCACATGTTGCAGCCCATGATGGCGTCTCGGTCTGTCTGTCCTCTTGATCTGAATCTCTGTCGTTCTCTGTCACCGCAGGTCCCTCAGGAAACAGCTGCCAGTCCGTATCGATAATCCAGCTTGTCTGTCCGACCTTTGACCTCCAAATCTGATGTGTTCAGGTCAGTGTTCGCGATCTTGCTTGTTTAACCTTTTTTAATCACCCACTGACCTTTGGCCTAAAATGAGGTTCCAAACTGAGATCAAATCATCAGGTTTGATGTGAAATCTTTATTCTGTGATACAGATCGTGTATCTAAAATGTTTTATTCTTGTTCTTTGTGTGAACCATAAGGCTGTGAGGAAATCTGTCAAGAAATGTATCAAAAAATGATTCAAATTTATGCTGATTTGATTCAAACAGGTAAAAGCTGCAGTTATCTGTATAGCAGATCTGTGCTTGTTCTTCAAACTCAGTTTTTAGACAAATATGCACCAAAGTAGGGTACTTGTAGTTTTTATACAGTAAAGTGAGATTTCCACTTCATCTGAGAAGCCCCAGAAGTGTCTCCAAACATGTGCAGCTCCTTTTATCAGCTCAAAGTCACAAGTTCTCCTTCAAAGACAAGAAAGGGAAACCCCAGCTGAGAGTCAAGCTGAGTTTGCGTCGTGTCCTCTTTTCTGCTCTAAAGACAAAAGTAAAACCCACTTCTCTGTTTCTCACTGTTTCCCACTCGCAAGCAGAAAAAATGATGAAACGAAGACAAAAGCAGCACAAACGTCGTTCGTTTTTGTCGTAAAAAGGCTGCGTTCTGCTGCTCGAACAGCTCCTCGCAGTAAACAGCTTTTATCTGGCGTCCTGCGGCCAGCGAGGAGGCGAGACACTTTTCATCTAAATTAATTTTTATTCATGCACGGTAGATTGTTTCAGCCCTACAGGGGGAAAGATGAGGAGGAGGAGGAGGAGGAGGAGGAGGAGGAGGAGGAGGAAGGCGATCTCCGGTTTGTGCTTGAAACTGTTAACATGAAAAATCAGTTCAGTTTGTTTAAGCAAAAACAAGCAGCAGCTGAATCCTGATGGAAGGATGAAGTCCGAGTGCTGGTTCACGGCTCCCACAGAGACAGTGTACACGTGTGCTTACAGCATCATTCAGCTGTAGTTCAGTGCAAATATCAAATAGTTTAAATCAACTTAAGCTTCACTTTGTTGGATGTTTGTTTGATTTTTGTCTTGCACTGAATATTTTGTCTTTATGACCAAACAAATTGCTTCTCTCTCTGTTCTGAATAAATTTGGTAGCTTCTGCGAGAGTGATGAATAAAAACATAATAGATCCAAATCGTGGTGCTTTTAAAAAATGATGAGCGCAGGAAAGCTGATGGAGAAGAAAAAGACTGCAAATTGTGTGTTTTCAGCTTCTGTTTAGAGTAAATGTAACAGCTGAAAGTTTATAGACGACAAACTTCAAACTCGATGAAGGATGACGTTTGTGCGATCTCTGTTTGTTTGGTTAAATAAAGTGTGTGTTCCTGCAAACAGGAAGGAAAAGGTTCTTAGCTTAAAAAATTATTTTTCCTGCTTTTCCAAAATGGATTAAATCTGAGCCTCTAATCAAACACAAACTCTGCAGCTAAATGTTCGTTTGTGTGTCTCCTGAGGTGCGTTTGGAAGCGAGGCCTGTGACGGTTAATAAGAACTGAAGAAAAGAACTCTTCTCCCGGTTGTAAACTGTTTTCAGTTCGCTTCAATAATTCATGTGAACATCAGTGAGCGTTTAGAGCGACGTTCCTTCTCCCCCAAACGGACTCTAACAGGCTGCTGGCTTGTGTCAGAGATTTTGAAATATTGCAAACGCCAAGAGCTTCAATAAAAGATTGGAACAGTTTCTTGATGAGAGAGGATCAAGAGCTCTCAATAATTCATCTGAGGGTTTGAATCACCACGAGAAATAAGAAGCCCGCGGCTCCACTGTAAACATTTTGTCCAAAAGTCAAGCTGATCGTGTCTGTGCAGAAGTAATAGAACGAAACAACCAGCATCTGTTTCTACTGTTTCTACTGTTTGAACTTTAAAATGTGGTTTTATACCCAAACCGCTCACCTAACAAACCAAACAAGAGATTTGTTTTTTATTTTACGTATCAAAGTTTGTGCTTTTGTGTTTTTTGAAAGGTTGGTTGTGTTTAGCGCTGAATGCTTTGAGCACTGTGGCATTAATGATGCGTTTGTAGGGTCAGAAAGGAGAAGCAGCATTTGTGCTTTTAGCAGTGACTCCACATTTCAGCCTCCTCTCTGAATCCAGCGTTTCCATCTAAAGTGTTACGTTTGCACTCAGCGTTGATGTGTGCAGATGGAAAATGCTCCCATGTTTTATCAGTAAATCTGTCATTTTGTGCACTTTTGTGTGTCTACTATAAAGTTCAAAAATACATTTCCTCCTGGTTCACTAACATCTGTCTGCCACGTGCACTTTGTGTCTCTCAGTTTATGTCTGTGTGTTTTAATATCCAGTTGAATATCACATGTTGTTTGATTTCTGTTTGGTCTCAGTCCTTTTTGCTGTTTCTCCCTCAAAAAATCTAAATTTAGCTGCAAAGTCTCGAAGCACATTTAGTTTTGTAAACGGTATTTTATTGTGTTAAAGAGCTGAAGTTTCTTCAGAGACAAACCTGTGAGCTCCAAATGATCTGATGATGAATATTTACTGACAGGTGTTTCCTGTGCCTGCATGTTTCTGTTTTAAAAATCAGTGCTTTGCAGTTTCTGAATCTTTTCCTTCACTTTTTCATTCTAAGTAAAGATTTATTTCTCACTTGCTGCTCGGGGCTGTTTAACTTTTCTCCTTTTGCATGTTGGTTTTTTGCAGAGAACAGCGTCTCCCTCCGGTTTTATCACCGCCCACCTCGCCCACAGACGGTCCTCGATTAGCCTGCAGAAAGATGACAGACAGGATCGACTCTCTGCAGAAGCACATTCAGCCTGTATCACCTGCTGCTTCTGTCACCGAGCATCAGTTATCTGGCTTTATCAGAGTCTACCTGCGCCTCTCTGCACCTGTTATCTGTCATCAGCACCTGTTTTATGCACCCTGATCCAACACAGGATTCCTGTCAGACGCCTCAGAGGGAAAAGGAGCCAAAGACAAGCACCCAGGCAAAGAGAGAGGATTAAAAAAGTGTGTTCACAGGAAACAAACAGAGGGAGAGAAAAACTGCAGCGTGAAAGGCGTTTAAATGGAGAGATGCCATTCTGGGAATTTCTCAAAATCCCTTTTTGACAGTTTGTTTTTCATTTACGTGTGTCTAATTCAGCAAATGACCCACGGCTGCTGGATCTGTATTTTCCAAATGTGCCACTAAACAGAAAATTGCACGAATTATTTTCCTCAGTCGATGAAATTTCCAGTGTTTAGGTCACCACACTGAATTCCAAGTATCTTGAAATCTTTGTCGACCAGAAAGAAAAATCAGTTTGTGAACTCCTCAATCCCCAAAAATCCTCCTCCAGGTGTGATAATCCACACAGGTGAAGAGCGGCTTTGTTTCAGCAAACTTCAGCCTCAAACAGTCGCCCTCTGTCTGCCATGAAGCTGACTTTATCTCCGCGTAATCTCCCCAAAAAATCCTCGTCCAGGAGCAGCCGGCAGGTTTTCTGAGAGGATCTAGACCCTGAGAGGACCGGCCTTCTCTCCTTTCTCCTCTTCTATTCTTTCATCCTTTGATTTCCTCTGCTGCTCCGTCATTTCTCTACAGAGGTTAAATCCGGCTTAGTCTCGCTCCTGGACACAGAGACGCAGAAAAACAGAGAGAAAGAGGATCTTGAATGAGCACATGAACACACACAGGCTTGGTTTTTGCTCATTTCTCTGAATCTCTATGAATTTGTTCTTTGTCCTTCTGCCCAGAGCAGCGAATAGACTCACATGTCTGCAGCCAAAAGCTGATCTCGCTGGTCAAAATCTTTTAATCTTTTCCATTTTAAGCTTTTTGTTTTTGTTTGAATGTCATTGAGTTTTTTGCCCTGCGAGAGATTATCAGTGCAGCTGACCTTTCAGACCCACAGACATGCTCATCCTGTCAGTTATTTTCAAGAATCAATCCAGTGAAAATATGTCAACCTTTAAACTTCAAATCTACAACCATGAGTCGATAAATCCAGTGCAGTCCAGTCGTCTGAAAGGTAAATCTGTGCGATCGGACTGTTAAAGCAGAAAACTGCCACAAAACAACCACAATCCTGTTTTCTCGCAGCATTTGTAGGTATAGCTCTGCTCTGACACCCCGCCCCTTAATTTCACTCTAACCTCAGAAAGCCAAACATCAGATATGACACTGATTCAGTCAGATACAGTGTGAAAGGGTGGGGGTGGGTTCCAAAGTGGTTTGCAGATGAACAGCAGCTAAGGCTAACGCTGACATTTCATACTAATATTGCTACAAAGTATTTTACCTAAGAAGAGGTTTATCCACGACATGAGACCACTCACTGCTCATCAGCTCACAGCTGTTGGTGAGAGCAGGAATGCAGATCGACCATAAAAGATTTGAAATGGTGGGGATTTTTTTTTTTCAAGGCAGAAAGCGTGATTTGGAAATCACGGAATAAATCAACAGTACATCAGTGAATAAAATTTACCAACAATGTTCAGGCTCAGTTTGTCAAACTGCAAGATTTGTGTCTTTTTCTTTAACTTGAAGGATCAAAACCTGAAGTTCAGTCATGCAAAACTACCGACTCTGACATTCTGGGAGAAATCGAGAAAATAATCAGTCGATCAAATAAGATCATGAAGAATGTTTCATCTCAGCTTTGTTAAAGCATCCCAGTGATAAAAGACAATTTACTGCACTGGAATACCAGAAAATAAGACTTTCATAGATAAAATATGTAGGAATTGAAACTGCAGATAAGAAGAGGATTTTTGAAGTTCAGCTTTACAAGAAGAAGTAAAATTCAGAAACTCCAAAGCCCCCCTGGGATAAAAACAAATCTAAACAGGATTTAGCCAAAGTGATTTCATTTTAAATCTCATTTAAAGAATATTTCCAGCTGCACCTTTCCAGATGTTTTGGGAACCGTCCACTCCTTGATTTCCCCGGGGAATCAGTCGCCTTCTCCTCCCACAGAAGGTGACGCTGAAGTGGGTAAAACCGGCACACTTGTGTCCCCACCTGCTCGTCCTCCTTCTGCTTTCTTCCAAATTAAAACAGATTTGTGGCGTTTCCCTCCCAGTCTGAGCGGCCGTGGCTCTCTACAGACGGATGAAAAGGAGCCGGCGGTGCATCAGGAATCAGCAGAGATCTGCAGCTCTCTGCTCGCCGCTCTCTCTTCTTCTGCAGCATCCTCCCCACGCTGGAACAACAGCAGCCTCCGTGGCGGTGCAGCCAGCCAATAACCTGCAGCGGGCAATTAATTTTCCCCTCCACGATGGCTCTTTCCTCCTCCTCTGCTTCTCCCTCCCACCTGCTCTGTCCGCCCTCCCATCTTTCCTTTTTTTCTGTCTCTTCTTCTTATTGTTCTTCACCTGTTCATTTATCTCTCTGACATTCAACTCTTACTCAGCGTGCATGCATGTAAACATTTTTTGTGTTGTCTTTGCGGTTTAAAGAACACCGAGCAGACTGTTATCTGCATGTGCATGCTGTTTGTCAGGAGGAATCCTCTTATCTTCAAAATGTCAACTTTAACAGTTTAGACCAGCAGGAACATTTGAGTTTTATACGGCCGGCTTCTTCCTCCTGCAGAGGACGGTCAACGTGTCAGCTTTGTGTTCTGGCAAGACGAAAAAAATCACAGTAAAGAACACAGCAGGCATGTGTGGGGGGGTTTCAGACCCACGGATAGCAGCCAGAACACACTAGTGTATTTATCCCATATTTACAATAAACCTTCTAGTTTAAACAGTTTAAGCAGTCTGTAACCAAACACATCTGTGAGTAGACCTTATTTTCTCTATTATTCTTACTTTCTGTCCTATGTGTCTTAGTCCAGCAGACTCTGTGAAACACTCAGTTCATCTCCTGCATCTCAGTCTCTGCCTGTCAGTACAGATGCCCCACCCACCTGCTCTTCAAACCCTCTGATGCTGAGGGGCAGCCAATCAGAAGAAAGTGGTCTTACATGTGGGAGGATTTAAATCAGCTGATTTAGGACCGAGGATGATTTAGGATTCAAAATGAAGACAACAGTACACCGATTACTGTGCACATACAAACACACCATACAGACACTGGTATAAATTGGTTCCAGTCCAATAAACCAGTAACCCCATTAGCCTTAACAGAAGGCAATTTAATGGTATTAATTAATTCTCTGTAAAAAGTAATTCAGGTCATAATTTATGCACATAAACACCCAAAAAGACAAATGACACAGCAGCAGAAGCAGTCTGATGACGTCCTCACTGATCACACCAACAGTTATGTCCAGGCTCTCTACACTGTACATAGACAGAATTAGCAGTGGGGAGGAAGAACTCCCCTTTAGCAGGAACACACCTCCAGCAGCACCAGGCTCAGTGGGGCGCAGACATCTGCCTTGTGGGCTGAAGGCAAGCAGAGGAGAGAAGAGGATGAAGTCCTGGGAACAGCAGGGGATGAGCCTCGGCTCGGTTTAATTCTCTTTTTATATTCTTCCCTGAGGTCAGATCATTTGTGAGAATAATATAATTTCCAGTGTTTCTCTGGATCACATGTATGTTGGTGTCCCTGGTGTAGGCGTGTGGCACAGATGTAGCCCTGTGAAGGACCGCTGAACAGCACTTTACTCATCAGCTGCCACTCACCGTCTTCTCCTCTGCACAGCATAAGAAATCATTTAGTTCTGTAAGTCTGGAGGGATCTGTGTCATTAACATGAGACAAAAGCAGAGTTGGAGACTTTCTTGACTGATAACCTTGTTAGATGTGAGATAACACGTGTAAACGGTTTCCCTTTGTTTTGGGGTTCGAGGTCTCTCATTCGTCCACCCTGTGCTTTATTGTGAAACACAGACTCTTGGTCATGTTTGTTGTTCTGACAGTTGCTGAAATCTATTTTCAGCTGAGATTTATCAGATTCTCCTTTACTCCCCTGATCATCCATGCCCTGCCTGAAGTGGCAGTTTGAGAAGAAATGATTGGGAGAAAGAAGCCAAATCCATATTGTGCACATATTCCTGATTCCAAATGAATCCTCTGTGCAACACAAAACGTCCTCCATTCAACTTCCGGATCACATTCCAGTTTAT